AATATGTATAACCATTGGTACATCAAAGGAGACATGTAGAACGATTGTTACATCAATGCAGTTGCTTTTGATTTACAACGTAGCCTCGGACAATTTTCAGAGTTGGGATTTAGGCGATGACAAGTGTCCATTGGGTTCAGAATTTTTGTTTTTACTGGAAGAATCTAAAGAGCTATGAACCAATTTTTTTTCAGAAAGTTACAACAACAAACAATACTATAAGAGAGCTAAGCAAGTCGCTAAATGGAAATATATAAAGTATGTAAGTACAAATTGCATAAGTACATCATCCTAATATCAGGAGGGAGCAGAGGTCATTAGTTGTTTTGCTCCCTCCCTCTGGAATTCTCATAGGTCAACAGCAATGCTGGCACCATCGAGTCTTTTAAATAAAATAAAATGTGTTTGACCTAGATTCTTTTTGAGTTGGATTGCTTTCCCAGTGGCTTTTTTTTTGTAAAGCATAATTCATATGTTCTGCATGTTGAACCTCTTTCGCACCATACATAGTCAACCTTGCATGGAGGGCACGATATAACACATAAATCGTATTCCATAAGAGTTGAGATGTTCACTTTGGTAATTCCTCGGAGAAGACGCCGGAAATTAAGTAGGACATTACTTTTGAAGATGTCTCAAAAAATGGAGTGCATTGACCACAGTTGTTGTCATCAGCTGGCACAATTAAAAGCAATGTTGTAAAATTAATGCAGCGTTTCTTTTTTTATTGAAACAGTCCGGCGTACTTTCCGCTCGGTTCGAGGGCGGCCGGCGGCTGATTGTATTCACGTGGGCAGCCACAGCGGGAGCCTGCAGCCACGCAAGGCCTCAAGTGCACCTTCAGAAAAACTAGGTCGTGGCTTCGAGCTAATTTACATTTGGTAACACTTCAAGTCTGGGACAAGCAGTAAAGGATCGTGGCCTGAGTAAGCGCGGTATTTGTAGTGTGACACAAAAAAAAGGTGTCGAGCTGCATCGGATAGCCCAAAAAAAAGTGTCACTGCGTTCGCAGGGGTGCACAAGCACGGGCAACAAAAACTCGACGCATTCTGACAACGACGGCGCTGCCCTCAAGATGGACATTCTCACAAGAGGCGATGTTTCGGGGCAATGGCTCTTCTTCGTAGAAGTGACATTGCCTCAATCGGAATCGCAAATCTTTATTTGAAACATCGCCGATCACGACGATGTTCACCTTAAAGGGCACTGTTCTAGATGAGTGTGCTGAGTTTTGGATGTTGAAATTGGTCGCGGAAATTTTTTGGATGATGATTTTTTTTGGTGAAGGGGCGAATGCGGATGGATTGTTGCGTCGTGGAACTAAGCAGGTTGCCGACGGCTTGGGGGGGGGGACCTTCATCCGGCATTGTCAGTCATTGCCGAGGGTCGTTCATTTTTGGTTCAACGTTTAACGTTCGTTAAAAGTGTCTTGTAGGTAGATGGCATCAGTAATTTCTGCATATTAGAAATCGTTTTAAACTGTTTCCGCACAAGTAAGTTATGCTTCAGTGTTTTACTGCTAAATGGGATCGTATGTTATCTTATCTTTATAGAAGCAGAGAGCTTGGTGGATTATTGCGTCACAGGGTCATGAGAGGTGTGGGCAGCGTGGGGGGGGAGGCTTTCATCCAGCAGTGGATTGATTATGGCTGAAAAAGTTTATATAACTGACGCCATCACATTATCTATAATGCAGGTTTTTTGGGTTAGATCGCGTAAATATATAAATGTGTCATTAAACCCGTCACCACCCAACACGGCATATGTGTAAGATTTGTCACGTAAACAGAATATGCGAATTCGTTACTAGTACAACACACCGGTGTGTTGGAGAGTAAATCCACAACGTATAAAAATGTAAACGTGGATTTACAAATTGGCATTTTCTGTTTACGTGACAAATCTTACTTATTGGCTGTGTCGGGTGGTGGCGGGTTTAACGACACATTTATATTCACGCGATCTAACCCAAAAAAACCTCTTATGGATAATATTGGTCGTGAAAGCCTGCTACTGCGTGTTAAACTGTCATCACATTGCTGTAATAGCCTTAGACGTACCACCAATTTAGTCCACATTTACCGAAACCTACAGTATAATCTTTTCATATCAGATTGGTCAACAGGGTTGGATAATACTTTTGTGGAAAACAAATATCTATGAAACCACAATTATTCAGAACAATCATTTGAACATGGTTGTAAATAGAAGTGGTATGTGCGTGTTGTATGTGCGTGTGCATATGAATAGGAATTATTGAGAATAGATAATTATTCTGTGTAGAACCATTTTAAATTGGCTTTCCAAAGCTAGTGCTCTTTGCAAGAAGGTAATTTACAGATTCATCATTATGTTCATCTCATACCCGGTACTAAACACAATTCCTGGCCATGCTCGTACCACCACTTACTTTTTAATCAACAGTTCCAAATTGCATTTTGCTAAATTTACCCTCTCTAAAGTGAAGGGCCCAGTGTTAAAATGAACTGCAGACGTGGCTGGGGGTAGGGGTGGTATTGGCTGAAGAATAAATGTTGTCACCACAGTGAGATGAACTCAGATGAAGAACCCCCCCCCCCCCCCCCCAAAGAAAACCAGATGAACTGGTTCTCCTCGTGTCCATGCGTAGGAAAGCTCTCGTCAAACAAACGTATCGAGGTTAAATGAAATCTGGCAGCGATACAATTAAAAGCCACACTTTAGCCGTTTTTAAATAGAGTGGCGACAACAGAGGACAATAATATGTTGTATGTATGTTGAACGTCTTTTTTACAAGGAGTCATATTTGCATTGACCACAATACCTGCGGTCAGAATGCAAACAAAAAACACAAATCTGATAATGTATGCAAGGTCCTTATAATTGATTGGTCCACACCCGAGACAGCTTTTCTTAGAGCTTAGTCTCACATGGTGTTGGACCAGATGACGCCAAATGGCGCACAAGTCAAAGACAATGCACCATCAGAGTATGAGAGCTCGGGCAAAGCATTTACACCATTGGAACCTCCTTTTCCAGTAGCAAAATATGATAATTGTTTTTTTATCCTTTTATTTGGCAACAAAACTGACACCTTTTTTACAAGGAGTCATGTTTGCATTGACCACAATACCTGCGGTCGGAATGCTTACCCTGAGCTCTCATACTCTGATGGTGCATTGTCTTTGACTTGTGCGCCATTTGGCGTCATCTGGTCCAACACCATGTGAGACTAGGCTCTAAGAAAAGCTGTCTCGGGTGTGGACCAATCAATTTCAAGGACAGTGCATGCATTATCAGAGATGTGTTTTTTGTTTGCATTCCGAACGCAGGTATTGTGGTCAATGCAAACATGACTCCTTGTAAAAAAAGGTGTCAGTTTTGTTGCCAGATAAAAGGGTTAAAAACCAATTATCAATTCACCAAACGTTATCGTTAGTACTGACACAATGATCTATTGTTTATTTTCTGCAATCTCACTTTGCAACCATCATTTATTCTATTTGAATGCAATCCAATACTCTAATTCTGGTTGTAAGAAGATTGATAAAAGGCGACTCGAGGTGATGATATATGTGAATTATGATAGATGCTGTTGGCGTTATATTAATAAAGATGTGCGAATCCCTCTTACCTATATTATGTTTAATTTTTGTATTTTTAAAGTTGACATTTTCCAATGTGAAGCTACGTTGGGCTTCACTTTGACATAATTAGCAGCTTCATTGTTGGTAGTTCATGGCAACATTATACGATTTTTCACATTTCCCAACTAAACATTTCAGCTTCAGGCATTCCGTGCAGTAATTAACTCTCCAATGGGTTGCTTCCTGTTGTTTTATTATTAATTCCTATATATGCAGGGTACTGAATACACATAATAAAACACAGTGAAAACAACACAACCTACACTTATATAGCATCTGAATGCAACCGCATTGGCTGACGTTTCACAGGGAGAAATTTTTTTTCTAGCGATATGCACAGGAGATTAAGTTGCACGATCTCGAGAGAGCGAAGTGGTTGGACAACTGACCGCTCAGGATTGGACTCTGCTTAAATTCACAGCTGTGAGATGGTGGTACCGGCCGTGGGTCTCCCCTCTGTGTGTGTGCGTGCAAAGTCCCATCGGTGAGCTCCTCCGGCAGGCAAGGCTGCGTTGGCTGGGTCATGTAGCCCGCATGCCCAGTCACCGCATGCCTAAACAGCTTTTGTTTGGCCGGATAGAGAGGGCTAAATGGGCGCGGCATGGACTAGAGAAGAGATGGAGTGATGTGGTACAGGAGGACGTGGAGCTGAGTAGACTTGCCGATGACTGATACCAGCGGTGTCAAGATCGGCCTCTGTGGAGGAGGCTCGTGACGGACGCTACTGGGCAGTTGGAGGCAGTCGTCCTCCAACAACAACAGAGGGCGGAGGAGCGACGCTCACAACAACGAGCGGAGCGCCGGGTGGCTAAAGCACAGCAAGTTGGCACAGTAGGGGGCACAGGTGGTGCATCAACCAGTCATCTCAGTCATCTCAGTCAGTCGACCCGTGGCACCTGGGTCTGCCCCGTGACCTCCTGCCAGCGGGCGTTCGAAACTTCACGTGGCCTCAAGGTGCACATGGCCTGGCACAAGCGTCGTGGTGACGTCACCGCCACTTAGTGGCGAATGGCAGTCGTTGTGTGCGTGCAGTCGTGTGTGTGCGTGCAGTCGTGTGTGTGTGCATGTGTGTGCGTGTGGGGAGCGGTAGTGTAGTGGTTAGCGCTCTGCGCTTTGAACCCGGTGGCCCGAGTTCGATTCCCGCTCACGGCCGACACCAGTTACGATTATCTGAACCGGTTCAAATGAGTACCTGGTGTGATGTGTAAATATCGCCACTCGAGAGACACAGGCGGTCGGGCATGGTGTTGGCCACCCACCCCCTCGTGTGCCGTGCCGGCCTTCATAGGTGCTACTCGCTATAACGAAACTTTCCCCAACAGTATGTTAAGGCTATATGGGGGATCTCTGTCTTTGATTTGTGTGTGCGTGCAGTCGGGTACTCCACCTGCCACTGGTGCCACGTGATGGAGCGCGAGTCGTTCTGCAGCGAGGCCGTCGCGAGCGTCCTCAACCGGCACTTTGTGAGCGTCAAGGTGGACAGGGAGGAGAGACCCGACGTCGACCAGGTCTACATGGCCTTCATCCAGGTGCGCACCGCCCCCCCAACCCCCCGGGGTCCCACGCCCCCCCCTCCTACGCCGTCCCTCCGTCTGTCGCCTGCTTTGCGTCGCCGATTTTCAGTTGATGACGTACAGTGAGGGAAAAAAGTATTTGATCCCCTGCTGATTTTGTACGTTTGCCCACTGACAAAAAAATGATCAGTCTATAATTTTAACGTCAGCCTCGAAACCTTAATGACTTGGAGAAGATCTGCAAAGAGGAGTGGGACAACATCCCTCCTGAGATGTGTGCAAACCTGGTGGCCAACTACAAGAAACGTCTGACCTCTGTGATTGCTAACAAGGGTTTTGCCACCAAGTACTAAGTCATGTTTTGCAGAGGGGTCAAATACTTATTTCCCTCATTAAAATGCCAATCAATTTATAACATTTTTGACATGCGTTTTTCTGGATTTTGTTGTTGTTATTCTGTCTCTCACTGTTCTAATAAACCTACCATTAAAATTATAGACTGGTCATTTCTTTGTCAGTGGGCAAACGTACAAAATCAGCAGGGGATCAAATACTTTTTTCCCTCACTGTATTTCGCCCGTGTACCAAAATCATCACCATTAATGCGTCGCGTCCGGAAGATCAACAGCGTTGAGCCTGGAATTGCGACCATCCTGGTTTTCCAGCTGGTATCACCGTGGGGCTGAGAGGTAGCTAAGAGATGGCAATGCTGAGTGTTGCTCCTCGTATGTGTAAGTTTTCCAAAGGTGCTCTGGTTTCCACGGAAGAACACTCATCGTTCTTCCGTGGTATTGGTCAAACATCGCACTGCAAGACGATCCTTAAAATGTATTTCGAATAATAATCGCCATTATTATAATTCACTCAATAATACACTACAATATGTGCCTCAATGCTCACCTGCATGTGCTGTGGGGTTGCATTGCCCACAGAGGGCAGTGCAGAAAAACTTCCATTGTTGTAATGTACTATGCTCCATTGTCCATGCTTCCCATCCTTCCAACTGGCACTGAGCAGTGTCCGGTGAAGTATGGCCAAATCACTTTCACGAGCCACACCCCACGGGGAGGCTTTCATCCAGCAGTGGATTTACATGTAATGTAATGTATCCGAAAGGATGGGTTTGTGTTAATGCCCACCTCACCGTATATGTAATAAGTATGTTAAACTTCTTTCGCAACGTATATAGCCAACCGAGCTAACCGGAGGAGCAGGGGAAGGACAACAAACTAAACACGAAAAGCATTTCTAAAGAAATGCGTTTTCAATGGATATTTAAAAGTGCAAAGTTCCAGTGGGCTTCCGAATATAGAAGGTTTTTGCTGCATAGCTGACATAATCCACTTGCATACAACGTAAACAAATCGATAATCCATTCTTACACGCAAGACTGAATTCATTTATTGTGACTGCAAGAATTAATTTCAAGAGATGAATCGATGCATCGTTACATGCTCAATGATCTTGATGCCACGAGGAGTCAATCGATATTATTCTTGGGAAAGACTGGTCCCCATCATAGTAATGTGGAAGTTCCCTTTTGGCTCAGGATCCAGCTAGGAGAGGCCGCTAAGGCCTGGTTTATATACCCGTGGCCATTGATGTTGTACCTGTCCAGGGATTGAACCCAGGTTTGTGGGGTCACGACCCAGAACGCTAAGCGCTCTGCGATTTCTCCACCATATGCCGACGGCAGTCAAGACGTAAAGATGTGCTTTCATTATGTACATTACATAAATAGTAATCATAAATAGTCATCTTAAACAGACACTTGTATTCATTATCCATTCAAATGCATGTGGATGCATAATACGTAATCACTACCAAGGCCACCAATCTTGCCCCATTAGCAGGGATTTTGCAGGATCCCCCATTGCCATTCATTTTAGAATAGCCGCGTGAAAGCTGCGGCATGAGGCTCTCATTTGTCAGCGCTCGAGTGCAAACTCTGCAGTCGCACGAACGACGAACGTTTAACTGTTAATGACAGCAGATGACATTTTATGAGGAAATGTTAATCGTTTGCCTGCCTCGCTCGGGTTTCGGCTGTAATTAGAGTAACTAGTTCGATTTGCTGCCAAGGTGGCTTTAATGTTCGTTACAGCTCTTTATCCACCGTTGCCGTACTCAACACTCCTCACTGGTGATGGGGTGGAGCATTGGCAGAGCGGTTACCGCATTGTGCTCTGGACTCGGCGACCTCGGTTGGGTCCCTGGCCGTGGTCCGTATATCATCACCAACCTGCACGAACCAACGTGGTGAAGTATGGTCAAACGGCCTCCATCACTGACAAGGTGTGTGGAGGACTTCACCCAGATTTGGATTGGGAAATTACTGTACGTTGCATTGCTCTGCTGCTCCGATGATAAAGTATGGGTTCCAAGGCCGTAATTATAATAAATATTGGGGGGGACACATCCACCCCAATATTCAAATATGCTCAAAATGTCGCCCCCAATATATTTCAAGAAAATAGATTTATGTTTATTTGATTGTGGTTATGGTTGTACTTTATTAATCCCGAATCTCTGCCATTACATACAATGAAACAAGAAAAGGTCAAAAAAAGAACAAAAAAGAAATGTAATACAATACACTATTAGACTTTATTGTAAAAAATAAATAAAAAGTCCATCCTATGTGTTAGTGAATTTTTTTTATATTTTAGGCAGGAAATGGCAGGAAATGAGTTTTCAAATTTAGATTTTTTTGGGGGGGGGGGTGGGCCCAGACCCCCTGGAAGATTTGGTCCCCCCCCAATGTTGACTCCATGGCTACAGCCTTGATGGGTTCCATATATCATTTCATATCGCTACTGCACACATCTGTTCCTTGTTTATGTATATTTTGGGTTAAATTACATAGCGCTGTGTGGTACACAATACACTGAATATAAAACACGGGTTGATAATTTAAATTAATTTGAAACATCCCATGACATTGACATTGCCCGCCGGAGTGAGCCGTTGTGGTCTCGTGGAATTGGCGAGGGTGGTTTGCCGCTGCTTGGCTTGATATGTGAAGCTATTCATCATATTTAAATTGCAAGCCGGTGACCCAGCACAGTCACCAAGACCATTTTGAAAATGGGATGTGTCCTTGCGGCGTGTCCTGGCTATACGAGCCATATTTAAAGTAGTGACACACCGTTAGACTACTGGAGTGTACTGAATACTTTATTAGTAGTTTATCCTGCACGGTATCCATGCTGCAGCCTCCGCCCCCCTCAGAAATACTCAAACTTAATATATTCTGAATGAATTTCGATTTAAAGATTTCGTGACTGCAGGGATTCATCTTCTCGGTTCTTTCGGTAGCCCTGTTCTTCACCTGAGGACGGCTGCTTGCGTTGTGTTTTATTTGTATTATTTTATTATTTCCCTTCTACGTGACTCTACCGAAAGAACCAAGAAGATATTCTGAATGCTTCAGCGTCTTGTTTATTTACAGGAAAACCAAAATGTATGGTGGATATGAAGCAACATATAGATTTCCCCATAGTGTTGCACTGGGAACAGGGTCTCATTTGAGGTTGATGCCAAAGAATTACAATTATTATAGAAAAAAATGAAAGGTCATTGTAAGATCTCGGCTACATTTTCCCGTTTACAATGGTACACTACATCGGACCTGAAACACACGTGGTAAGAAGCATGTAGAATTGAGCATCGGGCTTGCATTTCTTTTTGACGATGGCATAACAATTACAAAGTAGTTTTGATCTCACAAACAGCTTACCCATACTTCATTTGGAGCTTTCGTGACTGCAGTAATTACTCTTTGGTTCTTTCGGTAAAGTCACGTATAAAGAGAAAATAATAAATTAAATACTAGCATATGACGCTTACCCATAACACGTGGGTTATTGATGTATTAAATGAAACAAAAAAAATGTCATTGGAGTGTTGAGCAGACTTCAGTGCGAACACAGCCATCTGAATTCAATTCCGAGCCACTTCCTAACATTATCAGTGGTGGGCCTCCCCTTCGCCAGTGTACACTGTCAAACAGCCCCCACAACCGACACTGGAGGGTGGCCTTCATCCAGTAGGGGATTGAGAGAGCGCTGTAAATTTTATTTTAAAATATCATGTCACACTGAAAGCGCTGAACCATGAAATTGTGTTTTTTTTTTAACAGTCAGCTACTACAGAAACCAAATGTAGCATTGCCGTGATAATGTAATACTGCTAACGCACGTTGTACTTTAAGGTCGGCGGGCAGGATAAACTGTTTTATTCAACTATTTTTTTATTTTACCAGGTAAGTCCCACTGAGCTGTATAGCTACTTTTTCAGAAGTGACCTGGCCACAAATGATAGCTCAACGAAGTGGCTCATCACATGGAAATGTATAGCAGCCAAATACTCTTAAATGCAAGTTTCTAAATGTGGAGGGAAAAAACCGGACCTGGAGGAAAATCCACGCGACCACGTGGAGAACATACAAACTCCAAATGTACCTCCTGCAGACCAGATGATGGAGATAACATCTCGTCACCCCGGCGCCATAGTGGTTAGCATGCTCACCCCACTGAGCCAGTCTACACAGTCGCTGGCGTGATGGGATTTACCAAAGCACACACTTTGCTGTAAATTGGATGTCATGAAGAGGAGATGGGCATATTGTGTTGGTGTCATAGCCTGAACGCACAATTTTAAAATTGTTGGGTTTTTTCCTTTTTCTAAAGGCGCGTGTCAATGCTTCCCATATGGCCACGGTTGCAAATATTGTTTTCATCTTGCAAAAGAGAAAATGCCTTCATGTATTTTTTATTCATCTGCACTGGTGCAATGGTCATGAGTGCATTGTAACACTTCAATGTTTCCAGTTTTAGCGTTACACGCTTGCGCAGCCTGTGCATTTCCTTTAAGGGTTGTGTACAGCCCTGGAGCATGACCTTGTTTAAAGCGAGGGGGGGGGGGTGTACCAAAACTCAGGGGGCATGACACAGTTGGTGTTAGCAACTCTTTAAACAAACACTAGACGCCTTAACAGAATGAGCTACAAAAGG